GTCGGGAGTGGCCGCCGCTGCCCACGGCGGGGAAGCCGGACCTTTGGGGAAGAAGCCCGTGTCTCTGGGGGGCTGTGCTGGGGGCTGACGCCGGTGCCGGCGCCTCAGGTGGGAGCCCCGCGGCCTCTGCTGCAGCGCCCACGCCCCTGGGCCTGGCCTGGGGACCAGAGGCCTGGCTGTGAGCCGCTGCCCGCCTGGCCCTCCCCCTCCAGGTCGGCTGGGCCTCCTTGGGTCTGGAGCTGCATGCTCCGGCCTTTTCTGACGCCGCGGGTCCTTCCTCTTCCTTGCTTGGCCGATCCTGCCTTTCCCTGCCGGTCCCTCTCCGAGGCACCCCTTCTTCTTCTGGCCCTTCCCCCCTGCCCCCGCCCCGTCGGCTTCTCCCTAAGGGGTCTGTCTGCCCTTACCGCTCTCCCCTCCCCCCCCCATGGGCTTCTCCCTAAGGGGTCTGTCTGCCCTCCCTCTCCCACCGTCTCCCAAGGATCCTTTCTCCCCTCCTCACATTTGCCTCCACGCTGCCCGGCCCTCGCCTCCTCCAGCAGGGCGAGCCTGGGCCGCAGTGAGATGCCCGCCCGGGCAGGACCCCCGCGCGGCAGACTGCCTTGCCCTGCACCCTTGACTCTGCAGCCGCTGCTCGGCCAGCGCACGGGGCAGCAGGGCCCGTCCGTTCGTGCGTGCGTTCCAAGTCCAGCTCTGAGGCAGCCTCCCCGCTGCTCTTTGCAGTGCTGTTAACAATTCGTTGGAAGCGGGCAAAAAAAGAAAAACCAATCATCACAGGACTAATGAAAAATGAAAAGGTCTTCGCGGGAAGAGTCTAAACAGAGAAAACAGGAAGGGTACTTTCCTGACTCGCGGGTGCTCGGAGTTTCCCGGAAGCGCCCAGCCCCACCCCCGCTAAAGACCGGCCGCCTGCCCGCCGCGTGGCTGTGGTGCCGGGCCCAGGACGCCAGATGCGCTCACTCGTTTAACAAACGTCTTGTTCCGGCCGGGCCGCGGCGATGCCGACTCGGTTGGGGCAAACGCTCGCCCTTCTCTTTGCCACTTCTTGCTTTTCCTTTTCTGTGAAAGACACACACTGTGCTTCTCCCTGCCGAAGCCTTGTGTGCATTGAGAATCCCCAAATCCCGGAGGCGGTTGGGGCCTGGGGAACAGCAACCAAAGGCGGGGGTGCGGGAGGCCCCCCCTCGCAGACTCCAGGGACGCTGGCTTTGGAGAGTGTCACCCTAGGCGCGCGGCACAAATCGCGCTCTTTGTGACCGGGCAGGAAGGGTTTGTGCTGGGTGGCGCTGGCCAAGCGCACAGTGCTGGGGATCTTTAGCAGGGAGCAGGGCCCAAGCTCATCGGCTCCCCACTCTCTCTCCCTCCAGCCGTGCTGAAGGCCGAGCAGGCAGCGGTGTTTAAGTTCCCGCTGGCGCCGCTCGGGTGCTCGGGGCTGGGTTCAGCGTTACTGGCCGCAGGGCCTGGACTGCCCGGCGCCCCTGGCACACCGCACCTGCCGCTTGAGCTGCAGCTCCGTGGGAAGCTGGAGACGCCCGGCACCGGGGAGCCGGGCACCAAGGCCAAGAAGGGGCGTCGGAGCCGCACAGTGTTCACCGAGCTGCAGCTGATGGGCCTAGAGAAACGCTTCGAGAAGCAGAAGTACCTCTCCACGCCCGACAGGTAGCCTGGGTCCCGGCTGAGCCCGGCGGATGGTGGGAGGAGTCTACTTGCCCAGCTGAGGGTGCACCCTGCTCTTTCCAGAATAGACCTCGCGGAATCCCTGGGCCTGAGTCAGTTGCAGGTGAAGACGTGGTACCAGAATCGGAGGATGAAGTGGAAGAAAATAGTGAGTGTGCCTGTGGCTTTCCGCCCCTGGTTGGCGCCAGGCCCCCGTGCCCTCTAGGAGCCACCCTCTTCTCTCCCCTCCCCACCTCCCCACCGCCTCCTAGACGTGGCACCAACCCTTCCGATTCCCTCCGCGGCTAGTGCCCGCAGGGACCCCCTCTGCTCCCTCCTTATCTCTGGGTGCCCTAGCACAGCCCACATTCCTTCGTGCTCCGCTGCGCCCCCAGGCTTCCTGGCAGCCTGAACCCCCAGGCCCAACCCTTCGGCTCAAATGGCCGCCATTTCCTGGGGCCAGGCGCGGCCTCAGATGGCCTGGTGGTGCCCGTGGGAAAGTGCCCGGCAGGCCCTGCCTGGGCACGGGGCACGGAGTCCCGCTGCCTGGTCCCAGCTCACCGCGGTGCCGGCCCTTCCTCTGCACAGGTGCTGCAGGGCGGCGGCCTGGAGTCTCCCACCAAGCCCAAGGGGAGGCCCAAGAAGAACTCCATTCCCACGAGTGAGCAACTCACGGAGCAGGAGCGCGCCAAGGAGGCGGAGAGGCCGGCGGAGGCGCCAGGCGAGATCATCGACAGGAGCCGCGAGGACTGAGCGTGCAAAGCGGCGAGCCGGGACCCCCGCGCTGCCGAGGCCCCCTCCGCGCGCGGGAAGCCGCGAGTAGGCCCTTCTGCGGCCCCGCCATTTGCTTTCTAAACGTTTCATTATTACCTTGAATGCGGACAGTTAGGGGCCAAGAAAGGACACAGACCCTGCAGCCAAGCCCGGCCCCAGTGCGCTCCCCGGCCCGGGCCTGGAGACTCGCGTCTGGCGCGTGGCATGCCTGGGCCCGGAGCTCCGCGCGCATTCACGCCCCGCTCCTCTCCCGCACCCCCACCGGCCTCGGCCGGCCCCCCGCGTCCGGACGCCGCCGGCACACACCCGCTTCCGCGCGTCGGGGACTCAGCGGCCCGGCGCAGGCCACCACGGCCCGACAGGGCGCGCGGACAGCCCGGTGGCTCTACCCTGAGGCCGGGCCCCCGACGTCGCTGGGGCTCCTACCCCTCTCTTGCGAAGACAGTGATTTTTTTCCAATAAAATATTTTATGACACAGCCGGGCTTGATGAAGGGGGTCTCTGAGTCCGCGGGGCTAGGGGAGGGTGGTCGTGGCAAAGCAGGAGGGACGCTTGCAGTGGCTCCTGAAACATCCTTTCCCCGGGCTACGTGGAAGCGAACCGTGACCTGCCCCACGGGCTCGGACTGGGCACGGCAGGCGGCTGGGTTGCTGCAGGATTCCTGGAACCGCTTCTGCTCGGTGTGAGGGGCTGGGGTGAGCCTCCGCCCCTTTCCTCCAGCCCAGGGCGCCGGCAGTAGCAGCCACGCTACGCGGGAGCCCCAGGCCACCGCGGAGCTCGCTCGGGAAGTGTCCCGGGGCTGGGAGCGGCCTCCGGTTGTTGGTTCAAGAACCGCTCGTGAGGTCCTCGACGTGGTCCCGGCCAAGTCTTCGCGAGGCAGACAGGACGCCCGGGATCCAAGGCTCACGCAGAGGCGCGCCACCTGCGCAGCCCTGCCTCCCGGTCTTCACGTTTTGCGCGGCACACGCCGAGCGGCGGCGCCTAGCCCCGAGGTCCCGCTCCAGGCAGCGAGGGCACCCGACCCAGCCACAGGACGGGGAGCGCAGGGCGCGCTCTCCAGGGGTGGGGCTTGGAGGTGTGTGTCCGCGGGCGCCCTCTTCTACCCGAAGGCTTCGGTGGACTTCTCTCCCTCTAGGATGGGCTGGGCACGCCAGTGGGTTCCTGCCCATGCACTTGTCACCAGGACGACGACCAGAGTCTAGGGGTGGACAGATGGCCACTTCGCTGGTTACAGCTCAGAGAGAGACTGCATTTTGGCCCTGCAGAATTCCAAGTGGGACCAGGATTTAACCAGGCCCTCCTGGAGCAGCTACGGGGGACAGAGGAACATCCTATCCACGTTCAGGTTTTGGGTCTCCCGAATGTGAAAACGACAGTTTTGGCCTCCACCTGTGGTGGCGACGGCTGCCTTTCAAACTGTGACTTAATCGTTCCTTGGTGAAACCAGCGCTTAGATTTCTGGTCCCTGAGCATCGCAGGCGTCGGGTTAAGGCCAGGAGGAGTAAGAGAGTGGGTTCTTTCCGAGGACCGCAGGCAATTCTCCGTGCGCCCCAGCCCTGCCCGGTCTCAAGGAAACCAGCTCGCACTCAAAGGCTCAGTCTTGCAAACAGCTTCCAGCCTACTCGCTCGCCAGCGTCTCCGAGGCGCCCCCAAAACCCGGTGTACCGCTGCGCCCCCAATCCCTTCCGGCCCTGAGGGTCACCCCTGGTTGGCTCCCTGCGGCGGTGGGCGGTAACCTTCCGGCACCCAGCCGGGCCAGTCAAGCCTGCACGCCGCTCCGTTTCCTTCTCTCCACTTCAAAGGGAAGGGAAGGTCCCACCAGTTTTGTCCCCGGGTGCTCCCAGGGCGCAAATTCCAGCTACGGCCCCTGTTCATCGGCGCGGAGCTGTATAAGGAAGGAGGGTCCAAGAGAAGAGAAGGAGACGTTCTGACCCACTCCTCGAAGTCGCTGCTGGGGCCCTCGGTTGGACTCCGTTCTGAGGAATGCGACCTTGGGCAGACTGCCTTGCGCTTCCGCGGCTATCCCCAAGGCAGCCCCCTTACCGGACTGCAGGATAGGGCCGCGGGGGACGAGGGCTTGGGGCGGGGGGCATCCGGCCGGACCGGGCGCCAGAGCACAGGGGCCCGTACTGCAGCCACGATAGCCCCTCCAGGCGCAGATGGGGAGCCTGTTCGGGCACTGCTGTCGAGAGGTCACTAGCCGGTCAGAGGGGGAGCTGGGCCCCCCAGTGCGGGCGGGGGTGGGA